GTCTGCAGGAAACACATCTAAAAATTTGCGGACTATCGAAACCGACTCAATTGAAGGTACTTGAGTAGTGTCATCCCTGAGATGTGCTAAGAAAGTTAGACAACCCTTACTAACCATTTTCTTAGCACGAAGAAAGGAGACGATACGAATCGGATTGGAAGTGTAGTCGCCCTCCCACACTAACGGATCTGTCCCAGGCTTGGCTAACGTCACAGTTTTAGTATTACAGTCCAAGATCGCAAAATTCGGAGAAAGCCAAATCATACCCAGAATTACATCAAAGTCAACCATTTCTAAGATAACCAAATCTACATAAGTGTTGCTCCCCACAAAGTCACCAAACAAGACCTATATACTTTTTCAACTATCACAGACTCACCCACCGGAGTAGAAACACGAATAGACATGTCAAGTATTTCACAAGGTAAATTAAGACCAGTAGCAAATGAAGAATATACATAAGAAAATGTGGATCCAGGATCAAACAATACAGAAGCCATGCAATCACAAACCAAAAGATTACCTGTGATGACAGCATCAGATGTCTCCACTTCAGATCTCCCAGGGAAAGCATAACAATGGGCCCTCTCACCTGTCTGTCCGTTGACCCTACCATGTTGTGATGTAGTGGCTCCAGTTTTCCCATCACCCCGGCCGTTTTGGTGACCACCATTACCTCGACCACCGCTTCCTCCAGAATGACGGCCTCTTCCATAACCACTTCTACCTCTAACATTTGGAGGTCTGTAACTCTGTTTTGGACAATACCTCTTAATGTGTCCAGTCTTCCCACATCCATAACACTCTCCGGATTCAAGCATAGGTCTCTCAGAGAAGTGTTGACCGGTCTGAGGTGGACCCCCAACTACAGTCTGTAGTGAAGACTGAATTGGTCGAACTGAGTAACCTCCTGAACCCTGTCCTCTAGAGTAAGAACCATTAAACTCACCTCCCTTTCGAAACCTTTTTGATGTCGTTGCCATGATGAAGTCATCTGGCTTCACTCCCTCTACCTCTATCACGAAGTCTACCACTTCTTGAAAAGATTTCGCTGTAGCCGCTACCTCTAAGGCTGAAATCCGCAACTCTGATCTCAACCCCTTCACAAAACGGTGAATCCGCTCTTGTGGACTGAAACATAGTTGGGTGGCATACCGGGATAATGCACGAAACTTAGCCTCATATGCAGTCACCGACATCCTACCTTGCTCTAGACTCAAGAACTCATCTCTTTTCCTATCCCTCAAAGTCCGGGGAATATACTTCTCCATAAACAAGCTAGAGAATGATGCCCAAGTCAGAGGTGGTGCCTCTATTGGTTGACACTCAACATGTGACCGCCACCACATTTTGGCGTTCCCTTGAAACTGATAAGTCACAAATTTAACACCAAACCGTTCTACTATACTCATCTTGTGTTTGTGTAGTAGCTTATGACAGTCAACCAGAAAATCGTAGGCATCCTTAGATTCAGCACCCTCGAAGACTGGAGGTTTCAATTTCAAAAACTTACTGAAAAGTTCATGCTGATCATTTGTCATTATAGGCCCTGTAGTCAGACGAGGAAATGTGCCTATTTCCAATGAGGCATCCATGCGGTGAGCCATAGTAGCCGCATGTTGTACCTCCGGAACCTGAGGTGCTGGTGCAGAAAACACTGGAGGCGCTTGGCCTTGATCAGATAACCCGCTAAGATAAGCAAGAACCTGATTGATCATCTCTGGGGTAGGTTGGGGTGGCAATTCCTCATTCTGCACTTGTTCATTCTCCCCATCCTCCCCTTCTCTTACTACTTCCTCAGTCGGTGGAGGAGTCACCGCCCTAGTACCAGATGGGCCAGGCGTTCGTCCTTTTCCTCTAGAGGACGTCCTCCCGCGACCTCTACCGCGGCCTCTTGCCACTGCTCCTCTTAGAGCTACAGTCTCAGTGGCTGGCTCAGACGCATCTTGTCTTGCTGATGTTGATGTTGGCGCGGTTGTTGCTCTTGTTCTAACCATCTGCGAAATAGAGTGAAGATGGTCAGATACCAATTTGTATCACCTAGATACCAATTGGACCCAAGTAATAGCACGAAAGAAAGAATGAAAGAATGGAATTTTCCTAAAGTCTTATAGCCTCTCAAAGAAAAGTAAAGGCGTCCCCCTACCGTTCCTTAAGACTCTACTAGACTCGTTCTTGTGTGATGAGACCAACGAACCTAATACTCTGATACCAAGTTTGTCACGACCCAAATCGGATCGCGACTGACACCCACACTTACCCTCCTATGTGAGCTAACCAACCAATCTAAACCTTAACATTTCAATATAATATCAACAGAAAGTAATGCGGAAGACTTAAACTCATTAATAAAATCAATAACTATTATTATCCCCAAAATCTGGAAGTCATCATCACAAGAACATCTATGATCAAATTATTAAACTAAGAGTATTCTAAGAAGCTAAAACAAGTAAAAGCTAGTCCATGCCGGAACTTGAAGGCATCAAGACATGAAGAAGAAGATCCAGTCCAAGCTAGAAGCATTAGCTCACCCTGAAATCCGGTGTAATTGAAGACTGGCTAGAATTGCGGTTGAGTTGAAGACGACGGCACGTTTGCTGCACTCCACAAATAACAAAGAAGAAAACATAAAAGTAGGGCGGGTCAGTACAAACACAAGTACTGAGTAGGTATCATCGGCCAACTCAAAATAGAAAACAGTATATATCAGGTAACATCATAAAATCAACTAATATCCTTAGCATGCAGCATTTACAATTACCATAACCCTTGGTTACAACACCAAGCACATCAATGAGGACTCACGCCTCCTCATCATACTCGTTTGGGAATTAGGTTCATTAGATTGAGTATATTAACATCTTTCAAGATTCATTATCTTTATTCCTCTCGTGTCGGTACGTGACACTCTGTCCCTCATATACTATCCTGGTGTCGGAACGAGACACTCCGATCCTCATTCTATCCTGGTACCGGAACGTGGCACCTGATCCATATACTATCCTGGTGTCGGAACGTGACACTCCGATCCTCATTCTATCCTGGTACCGGAACGTGGCACCCGATCCATATACTATCCTGGTGTCGGAACGTGACACTCCGATCCTCATTCTATCCTGGTGTCGGAACGTGACACTCGATCCCCTAATCTCACTACTTTCGTTCATCAAGCCTTCTTTTACACTAAGGCATCATCATTAACAAAGTAGATTAGGGTTTCTCAAGATTTAGGATTCAATAGCTTCATCATGCTTATTTTATCACAATTACATAATCACATTCATGCAAGCATACAATTAAGCATAAAGAAGGGTTTACAATACTACCCGTACATATCATTCGCTATTAAGAGTTTACTACGAATAGTATAAAAACTATAACCTACCTCCACCAAAGATTCGTGATCAAGCAAGCAATTTTTCTAAAGGCTTTGTTTTCTCTTCGTTTCCCTCTTGTCTCGATCGATCCCCCTCTCTCTTCTTGTTCTTTCTATTTTCTTTTTATTCAAACCCTCTTTCTTTTACCCTAATTAGCATATAATTAAGAATAAAAGATGGCAATAATAACCCACTAATTAACTTAAGGTTACCTCTTTTAAACCCCAAGTAATTAGACTTATTAACATTAACTCACTAACTTTATAATTAAAGCAGGAATAGTCAAAAACGTCCCTTAGAACATTTAAAGAAATCCGACCCAGCCTGGGATTACGCAGTCTGTGACGGCCCGTCGCGCCTGCGACGGTCCGTCCTGCTGCTCCGTCACAGAGTTCAGAGACTCAATTCTCTGAAGAGTCTGTGACGGTCCGTTACGCTTGTGACGGTCCGTCCTTCCATTCCGTTACGAAGTTAAGAGAGTCGATTTCAGTACCCATTTTTCAGAGTTTCTAAGTGTTTTGAAACGAGACACCCTCGACGGTATGTCGTGTCCATGAAGGGCCGTCGTGGGTTCCGTCGTCTCAGCCTGTTTTTCCAGAACTAAAATTTTCTGCTCAAAACGACTAAACAGGTCGTTATAAAAATTGTCTTAAAAAAATGGGAAGATAGTTCTAGTGGTGATTATATAATGTATTTTTATATAAAAAACCTTAAAATATAATTTTAAGTATTCAAATAGTCTAAAGAATTACACTGTCAATAGCTTTGGTCCTTCAATAATCAACAAAATTTGAATTATATATATGTATATGGCATCGATGATTTAAAGTAAAGTGAAAAAGGGTTTTATGATAAGCTAAAATTTTTAATAAAAAGAACAAGTGTGTTTTTAAAAACTTAAGAGAAAAGACTCAAATTATAGGACTAAAAATAGAGAATGTTCATTAATGTATTGGCTTTAATCTTCTTTTTTCCCGATAAATTGTAAACATTATCATTTTTCAGTAAAATTAAAGGTCATTTTATTCCCAAATCTGAGAAGTCTGATGATCTGACCCACTTATTCGAACTTCATCACCCTTAAACACCCTTATTTCTCACGTTCATCCTCTTGTCCAAATACAACATAACAACCTTAACCAAATCACTCTTAACGAGATCTATTGGTTTTATCCAAATAAATCGATTAACGCTAGTGTTGCCACTCTTATAAACTTCACATAGTCCTTTTCTCATTTTCAAAGCCATATAAACCATTATTTTTGTTATATATCTAAGCTTGAAGTTCTTTGTTGAATTAGTAATTTCGTACAAAATAAGCCCAATGAGCCCAAAAAAATATTGGGCCCAATTTAAAAATTGAACGGACCACCCCTTCTTAAATATAACCCTAGATAGCTAGGGTTTTTTAATTGAACTCTCTTTTTTTCCTCTCCAATGTCGCCGCTGGAGGGTGCTTTTACTAATTCCACCTTCCTCCTTCTTATGCGATGGATCATCATGTCTTCGTCCTCTTTACACCACAATTCATCGTTCTTAGGTGTCAGAGGTGGACATCCACTATCTTTTGAATTTTTCCCTTTTTCTTATTTGTTCTGACCTCTTTTTCCTCTTTTGCAGATATTTGCTCCAATGGATGAAATGGTTACCAACACTGTTTTGATAGAACAATAAAAGGTCATCTCCTCTACTAAAGCTTCAAATTGAAAAGGAAAAACACGTAATAATCATTATGATTCATGTTTTGTCCATGCGATTTTTACTACTGATGGCCTCAAAAACATCGATCCTTCATACGTCTTTTGTCTAAAAAGGTAAACCCATCTATCTTCTTTATTAATTTTCACCATTAATCTATATCCTTTTCCTTTGTTTAAACGATCTTTTTATTGGTTTGAAATCTAAAATTAAAAATTCACTAAATTTTTAAAGAAGTTGTTATTCCCGAAACATATCTCCTAAAAGGGTCGGGTCCTTGTACACCCTCTTTAAATGTTTATGGTTGCAAATTTTCATTAATAGATCTATAATTATGAGATCATTTTAATTAACACTTTTGGTTTATCTTTTTTTTTAATGACAAAGTACTTTTATTTTATAATTTTTGTAAATCTTTGAAGTATTTATCATTTTTTGAAAAAAACATTACTATGAAATAACCCATTTAATTGCAGCAATTTGATAATAGTATCGATTATTTAATTCATGAGATAAATTTTATAGTCATAATGTATGCAGAGAGACTATAAACAAAACATCACAATTTTTTGTTGTCATAATTGTTAAATATTGAACTTTAATACTTAACTTTAATCCGTATTACTACTCGTTCACATAATGTAACAGATACAAAGAGAACATTAAAAATTTAGCAAGGTTTAGGTTATAAAAGATGATGTTGATTACTAGTACTTATTTTAGATCAATGAAAGGCACTTGAAGCAAATAAATGAATTTAAAGTTACTATTTGGAGTACATAAATACAAATAAAAAAGCAAATAACCTACAATGTTTGAAACCAAAAAAGTAGACAAGAAAGGTGCAAGTATACAAATACAAAGGGAGATTAAAGAAAGGTTTGAACATATATGAAGAACTCAAAAAATTGCTAATAAATATTTTTATTTGATTCGACAACTTTATAATTAAATAAGTAGGATTACTCGTAATAGAAAATTATAATAAATTCCTTCTATTTTGGAGGTCTTTTAGATTGGGCTTTCTGAAAAGTAGTATAAGACTACGTGTATTTGTTTGTCCAATGATAATATTCTTAATTCATTGGGGGGAAAAAGAATAAAAAAGTCTAAGATATACATTAATAATCATTTTGACAAATATCTCTTTCAAATCATATAAATTAGATCTTCACTCTTATGTCTTAATGAAATCCTAGCCCATTCTATCGACTCGGTAGAAGTCATTAAGAATAAAATCAAGTTGATCAAATGTACTCTCTGAGTCTCTCTAATACACTACTTCATCTCTTTGACAGTCGAAAGGTTGTTGCATCAATGCCCTCACCAAGCACGTGTACTAGGTAAAATCACACCCATTGCTCATCAGTGATAAGCCCGTAAACTCATTACTCGATTCTAACTTAGTAGATAAATCATCAACTTCAAACTCACAAACAAACATAAAAGCATCATTCAATGCGAAAAATTCATTAGCAATATTCTTCTTGCACCTTGCAATCCCAATGGCCTGTACTATTTTCTCTTATACTACTCCGCAAAAGTTATACAATGGATCCTCGTGCGCAAGAAATCTTCTCAATGCCTTACAGAACACTAATAATAATCGAGCACATTCGTTGTATCTCTTCATATACACATTAACACTCATCAATGAAGAGATACAATGAACCTGCTCGATTGTTATTAGTGTTATGTAAGTTATTGAGTTGAGCTGTTGCGCTTGAAGATTCTTTGTATAACTTTTGTTGGAGTAGTATAAGGGAAATAGTAAAGGACATTGGGGTCGCATGGTGCAATAAGAATGTTGCTAATTTAGCATTGAATGATGGTTTATGTTTTGCTCGTGAGTTTGTAGTTGTTGACTTACTAGTAAGTTAATATTAAGTATGAGATTAGATAAGTTTGCGGGGGTTATCACTGATGAGCATTGTGCGTGATTTTATCTAGTACACATACTTGGTGAGGGCATTGATGCAACAACCTTTCGACTGTCCAAGCGGTGAAATAATGTATGACATAGAGTACACTGAGCTTGCATCGATGAAGCAGTGTATGACAGAGGGTGCACTAATGACGGTAGTATGATGATAATTGCATATGAATTGATCATGTCCAAGTAAAGTGAAATGGGGTTTTATAATAAGTCAAAATTTCTAGATTATAATAAAAATAACGCACTTTTATCAAAACTTGAGTGAAAGAAAATTCAATTTATTGGTCTAAAATGAGAGAATGGTCAAGATTGTTATTAATTTATGACTTTGGTCGTTTTTCTTTTTTTATTCCTCGTAATTTATAAATATTGTTATTTTTTTAAATATAAGTTTGATGAGTAGGCTCAATTACTAAGAACAGATTGAACATATGAAGACTTCAAAAAAGTTGCTTTCTCCTTTCTCATGTTAGATGGACTTTTTTTACACTATGATTAAGGAATCATTAATAGATTAATTAAATTTATTATTTTGTCCTTGTTCTTATTAATTAGTCTTTGAAAAAAATAGATTTTCAAATTCTTTTTAAACATCCAAAGGTCATATTAGTTATAGGGGTAAAATGAGAAAAAATTAATTAATTTTATTCTAATTTTTTAAATGATAAAGTAAAATGTGACAAATAGTTTAGTAAGTTGTTCATCTAATATGGAACGACTAAAGTAATAAATGTCTCTATTTGATTTAACAATTTTGTAACTGAATATACTTATTGACAATAGAAAGTTGTAATAAGTTTTTTCTAGTTTGAAGTCTTTTGGATTGGGCTCCCTTATTGGGAGATGGTCTATTTCTTTAGTTTGTATGTATTTGTTTGTCAATGATTATATTCACAATTAAATAAATTTAAAAAAAGACCAAAGCCTACCCATTAATTACTATTTTGACTTTTCTCTTTTTGCTGAATAAATTTAATTTTTTCTTTTAAATTTTTATAATATCCTCGTCATTAATCATTACAATCTGAAAAATTTGGCATATCATAAAAAGAAATACACTCGCTTCGACATGATCGGTGTCTTTGGCAACAACCGACACACTATCAATTTCAACCTCCACAACTATGAAGCTACAATGATGATTGCAGAGAGGAGTGGATTTATGTATATGTAAAGGGTGTCACCTGACACGACTTCGTTGAAAAATTTTACAAAATATACTCATAATTAAAAAAAAATATTGAATGGTAATATAAATTAAAAGGACACCTCTTAAATGAAAGTGCAATTGGCAATGGCGCTGCATTGCATTGGATGTCTTGCATCCTGAGTTGGAATTTTTTTGTACGCTTTTGTTTTCCTTGTCTCTTAATTTTTTCTTTTTTCTCCACGTTTTGTAATTTTTTGTTTTAAATTCAAAAAATAGGTCCTTCATTAAGAACCTACTTAAGTCTAATTGTGCAGATTATGTCATATTGGTCTAAGTTTAATTCTGCATACTACATTATATTAGTCTAGATTTAATGGAGAGTTATTATTCTAAAAAAATGATAAACTTATCTAAGGTATTAACGCAAATACTTGGTATTCTAAGTTATGATAGCTTATCCATAACTCGATCAATTACCTTGTTGATATCTCATATCACATGGTTAAGTCTGAAATATTCCACCTTATATCGTATACCAAACAACACTATCAAAAACTGTCCTAATGACTTGAAGTTTCCATATTTCTATTTTCAGAATTTGAAGACGATGAGTTCATTACCAACGGCTAATACACATTAATTAAAGCATATCATCCAATATTAATTCATATAATATTTTTATAAATCATAGAAATATAAAACTAATGTAATAACATATAAACCTCATTTTGCTTCGATTTGTATGGAAAGATATCGGCTTGGGCAATTGGGTAAAAATACCCCACACACTTACTAGCAACTTTCGATTTTTTTTAATCAAGTCACTTGATTATTTTTTATTATTATTTTAATTAAATGAGGAAAAAGATATTCTCAAGACTAATCTAATTGGATAAACTTACAGAAGTCTTGCTAGTTTATAAGTTAACTATTTAGATATACACTAATTTATATTATTATGAATCATATTAGATTTTGATACGCTCAGATGTACGTATCTCTGAATACACATAGTTGTGCGTAATTTGTTCTAGATATACTGTATTTAAGTGGATTTGCATTTATCTTGGATACATAGACAACTCTCCCTAGCCTCCCTCCCATCTTGCTCGCCACTCTCCTATTTGTTTGATATTCCATATCCATATGAGTTACACTAGATTCATACATATACATGTATTTAGTGTGTATATAATGTGATTTGTATGTATATGAGATATATAGACAAATCTTGCTAGCTTTCGTACCATTGTTACTAGCCCTTCTCCCTATTTCTGTGTATCCGATAGAATAAATATGAATCTTTTTGTGTCTAACTTAAAATCAGGTATGAAATTATGAATTAATGATACAAAATAAAATTATTTCAAAATATAAGAAGAAAGTAAAAATATTAGAAATATTTGTGTAAGATAGGTTCTCTAATTTAACACCTCTAACCAAATACAAAATAAAATAATTTATATTTTATCCTGGATTATTATCTCTTATTTTTCATATGCCAATCGATCCCACAAGTCTTTTTCTTTTGGAAAAAGAATGAGTTTCATAGCGAATCAGCGAAAAAATATATGTAACTGATATTCATTTCTTAAAAAAAACATCTCAACAATTATGTACGTGTATATTTTACATATATACAATTTAAATTTTTGTATACAATGATGAAAATAATTGAGTCTCATCGTTATGTTATAAACAATGATAGAATTATAATAATTTTAATTTGTAAATATCATCAGATAATTGTATTTGAACCTTTTGGTTCTTATAAGAAAATAAAATTGTCTTGGTAAAAAAAAGGGAAGATAGTTCTAGTGGTGATTATATTATGTGCGGTTATATAAAAAAATAGAAAATAATTTTAAGTATTCAAATAGTCTAAAAAATTATACCATCAATAGTTTTGGTCCTTCAATAATCAACAAAATTTGTATGTATATGTATGTATACGGCATCTATAATTTAAAGTGAAGTGAAAAGGGGTTTTATGATACGCCAAAATTTCTAGATTGTAATGAAAAGAATAAGGATTTTGTTAAAAAATCAAGAGAAAAGATTCAAATTATAGGACTAAAAATAGAGAATGACATTAATGTATGGTCTTTGATCTTTTTTTTTTCAGATAAATTGTAGATATTATCATTTTTTTTTGCAAAATTAAAGGTCATTCTATACCCAAATCTGAGAAGTTTGATGCTCTGGCTCACTTACACGAACTTTATAACCCTTAATTACCCTTATTTCTCACATTCATCCTCTTGTCCAAATAGAACATAACAATCGTAATTAAATCAATCCTAACGAGATATGACGATTTTTGTTCAAATCAGTCAATTCATGGCAGTGGTGTCACTCTCATCACCTCCACATAGTCTTTTTCTCATTTTCAAAGTCATAAAAGGCCTTCTTTTAAATGTCTAATCTTGAAGTTCTTTTATTAACTTAATAATTTCGTACAAAGTTGGCCTAGCGAACCCAAAAAAATATCTGGCCCAATCCAAAAATTGAACCGACCACTCCTTAAATAACAACCTAGTAGCTAGGTTTTCAAACTTTAAATCTCTTTCTTCCTCTCCAATGTCGCCGCTACAGGGTGATTTCACCAACACCACCTTCCTCCTTCTTATGCGATAGATCATCACATCTTCGTCCTGTTTATACCACAATTTATCTTTCTTAACTCGCAGAGGTGGACCTCTACTATATCTTTTGCACTTTTCCATTTTTCTTATTTGTTCTGACCTCTTTTTCCTCTTTTGCAGATATTTGCTCCACTGATTAACATGGATTTGATATAGGAACAAAAGACCATCTCCTCTACTGTAGCTTTGAAAAGAAAAGGAAAAACTCGTAATAACCATATGATTCAAGCTTTGTCTATGCGATTTTCACTACTGATGGCCTCAATAACATCGATCCTTCATATGTCTTTTGATCTGATAGGGTAACCCCATCTCCCTTCTTTATTAATTTCCACCATTAAACTATATCATTTTCCTTTGGTGGAAAAATCTTTTCATCAATTTGAAATTTTATATTTGAATTCACAAAACTTTTAAATTATAGAAGTTGTTATTCCCAAAACATACCTAATAAAAGGGTCGGGTCCTTGTTCACCCCCTTTAAATTTCTATGGTTGCAAACCTTCAATAATAGATTTATAATTATGAGATCATTTTAATTAACACTTTTGGTTTCTGATTTTTTTTAATGACAAAGTATTTTTATTTCATAATTTTTCTACATTTGAAGCATTTATCATTTTTAAATGACAACATTAATATCAACCCTTTAATTGCAGCAATTTGATAACTGTATCGATTATTTGATTCATGGGATAAATTTTTTGTCATAATGTATAATGAGTGACTATAAACATAATATCACAATTTTTTGCTGTCATAATTATTAAAGATTGAACTTTAGTACTTAACATTGTTCTGTATTACTACTCGTTCGCATAATGTAACAAACACAAAGAGGACATAAAAATTTTAGCAAGATTTAGGTTATAAAAGGTGATGTTGACTACCGGTTCTTATTCTAGATCAATGAAATGCACTTGAAGCAAGTAAAGGAATTTACAATTACTATTTGGAGTACCTCTACAAGCAAGCTACCACGTGGCATGGTTGATGGCCCATGGGTTGTGAACTTCTTTTACCGGAGAAAATAATTCAAGCCAAAATGTAAACAAGAAAGGTACAAGTATACAAATACAAAAGGAGATTAAAGAAATGAGATCATATATGAAGAACTTAAAAAAAAAAAGCTAATAAATATTTTTACTTAATTCAACAATTTTATAATTAAATAGGATTGCTCATAATAGAAAGTTGTAATAAATTCTTTCTATTTTAGAGATCTTTTGGATTGGCTTTCTGAAAAGTAGTATTAGACTATGAGTATTTGTTTGTTCAATAAATAATATTCTTAATTTATTGGGGGGAAAAAGAATAAATAAGTCCGAAGCACATACATTAATAATCATTTCGACAATTATCTCTTTCAAATCATGTAAATTAGTTCTTCTCGCTTATGTTTTAACGAAATTCAAACTCATTCTATCGATTCGGTAGAAGTCATTCAGAATACAATAAAGTTGACTAATATTTATGAAGATCATCAACGGCTAATCTATGATAGTTCCTAGCTCGTCGGTGGCATTCAATGAATGTTACTTCAAGAGTTCACAAATATAACTCTATTAATAGAATGACAATGTTTGTTCTATGAATGTTGCTTGAAGTGTTCACAAATATGACTCCATGCATTTATAGAATGTTAATATTCGTTCTGACCAACTTAGGAGTTGTTTTTCCATGTACATTGATTTTTGATTTCTGTTTGAAAAATCAAAAGAAAATCATCAATAACTAATCTACATGAAAATAATGAGGTTTTATTAGATTTTAACAATATCCATATCATTTTTTTTAACAATATCCGTATCATTTTTCATTAACAATATCTACAACGAAGCAGTGTATGAATGAGACTACATGGAGAGCTTGCATCGTATTTTATCTAACTTGCATGTTATGATATATGATTTTGCTAGTCATGACATGCAAGTCAACATAAAATACGATGCAAGCTCTCGATAACTCTCTGTCATACAATACTTCATCGCTTTGGACAGTCGAAAGGTTGTCGCATCAGTTCCTTCACCTAACACGTGTACTAGGTAAAATCACGCAGAATGCTCATCAGTGATAACCCCCGTAAACTCATTTGATCACATACTCAATTCGAACTTACTGGATAAATCAGCAACTACAAACTCACGAACAAACATAAAAACATCATTCAATGCTAACAATTCATTAGCAATATTCTTCTTGCACCTTGCAACCCCAATGACCTCTACTAATTTCCCTTATACTACTCCAACAAAAGTTATACAAGGTATCCTCAAGCGCAATAACTCTTCTAACACTAATAACAATCGAGCACATTCATTGTATCTCTTCATATGCAAATCAACACTCATCAATTCATTTGCATATGAAGAGATACAGTAAATGTGCTAGATTGTTATTAGTATTCGTAATTTATTGATAAGAGTTGTTGCATTTGAGGATCCCTTTTATAACTTTTGTCGGAGTAGAATAAGGAAAATAGTAGAGGTCACTGGGATTGCAAGGCGCAATAAGAATGTTGCATACGAATTGTTAGCATTGAATGATGCTTTTATGTTTGTTCGTGAGTTTGTAGTTACTGATTTATCAGTAAGTTAAAATTGAGTATATATGAGATCAAATGAGTTTGTGGGGTTATCACTGATGAACATTGTGCGAGATTTTACCTAGTCCACGTGCTTGGTGAGGGCATTGATGTAATAACCTTTCGACTGTTTAAGAGGTGAAGCAGTGTATGACAAAGAGTACACTGAGAGCTTGTATTGTATTTTATCTTACATGAATATGATGATATATGATTTGCTAGATAAAATAGAACGATGCTTAAGGAAATTGGAAGATCGACTGAGATTGAAGAATATTATAATAAAAAATTTCAGATTGTAATAAAAATGACATGGGATTTCATTAAAACTTAAAGAAAGAAGTCAATTTATAGAACTAGAAAAAAGAAAAATGTCAAGATGTTACTAATGCATGGACTTCGATATTTATTTTCTTTTTTTTTTCTTTTCAATAAATTGAATATATTAGTATTATTTTTTCGACAAAATTGCAGTCCATTCTATTCCCAACCTGAATAAATAATTATAGTTATTGGGAGATCACGTCATTTGTGATTATATGCTATTATTTGAAAGAGCATAGTTTTTATTTGTTTGATAGTTATATTAAATGAAGATTGGAGTAAAAAATAACGTTAAATCTGGACATATATTTGTTCATATTTATTTGAAAGGTCATTAGTATAACTGTATAAGCATAAATTAGTTAATAATCTGTTTGTCCGTAGAATAATTTTCCAATTTTTGTAATCACTTTTCTACGTGCGTTTTAGTTAGTGTTTGACTATATATTATTTTTAAATATGTTTGTTAAAAAATTTTGGGTGAAGTTTCACCATGTGTTTAGTTATAAATTTTGGAAAGAATATTTGACTATTTAAAAATATATATGATTTATACACATAAGTTTAAAAAAATATCAAATATCCATAAGTTTGTGTTATTACGTTATAATAATCATGTTTGGTGAAAAATTAGAAAAGTTTTAGGAAATAAACCAAAATCAGGATCCTTTAGTAGTTTGGAATTCCTTACTAGGATTTTGTTATTTATGGTATTTCTTATTTATGTTTAATTGAGATTTATTAGTTTCTGGTGCAATATAAATATGTGTGTTGTTTATAAGCTCCTCCGGTTTTAGGACTATTATATTACTTGCGCGATCAGGTACATTTGTGTGTGTAATTAGAAACGTGTTGCATTTACATTTATGACTACTTGAACTGAAAGTAGTTTTTGCAATGGCATTTATGATTTATTTTGTCTGATGAACAATAATAACATGCCAACTATTATAATAAAAGTTGTTGAAGTCATATATTTTGTTACTAACAACAAAGAGGAGGAATACTTTGTTCATTTGTGAAAAAGTTATTTGGATCAATTTGATGTTTTGCTTTTGCCAGTCTTTGAAAGTTACCTTTAAAATACTTGGTACCCCAAGTCATGATAGCTTGTCCATAACTCGAGTCATTACCTTGTTGGTTAATTCCCAAATCAAGATCTCTATAGTTGAGATAAGATGCTCTTGGTGAATTCGACACATATGGCTCCATGTACTTATAAAGATTTTGAATCCAATACAAGTATTGTTTGGATCCCTCATTTGAATCCCATTTCACTATGTATTGTATGTTGTAAATGTTCCCTTTTCTATGAGGAAACGGTATTTCATATTCTTCAATTTCATCCATTTTCCCTCCTAATGGATCCATTATCATGAAAACAAGTTTTTTGTGCAAAAACCTCTCTGAAATCCCCTGGAAAACACTTTCAGGCATTGGCTCAACGACGAAATCTGATTTTGCCTTGAAGTTGCTTTTGTATTGTGTTTTTCTATCCAACAGGACTTCTAGTGGTTCGCCTTTTTTGTAACCGATGAAGTAGAGGACGGATTGTATCCAGCTCATCTCCGTGCAATCTTCCATCTTCAATCCCAATTCAGGGAAATTCGCGTTCATAAGAGAAATCAAGTCGGATTTAAGTCCTAAGAAGAGTGAATTGAACAAGACTTCAGGTAGCTTCACATTCCCCTGGCCATCAATTCTATCGATTTGTTGAATGAGTACTCGAATGAAGAGACCCTCGGGTAGCTTACTAGCTATGTATTGCCAGTTATGTACAAGCTCGACACCTTCTTGATCTAACCTCTTGTGAATTGTGAAAACTGTGACGAGAGATGGAACGCGAACTAGTTTCACTTTCCAGGCTGATATTACTCCAAAACTAGCTCCTCCACCTCCTCTAATTGCCCAAAATACATCTTCTCCCATTGTTTTTCTGTTTAGAATTGTACCTTTTGCATCAACCAAATTGGCATCTATAATATTATCAGCAGCCAGGCCATATTTTCTCATCATAGTGCCAATGCCACCTCCACTAAAGTGTCCACCAATACCAACACTTGGGCATAAGCCAGCTGGAAATCCAAGAATGTTACTTTTCTTGGCTATGTTATAGTAAACTTCACCAATAGTTGCACCACTTTGAATCCAAGCAGTTTCATTTTCTATGTCGATGTTAATCGATCGATAATCGACTAAATCAAGGATTATGAAAGGTTTTTTGCAAAGATAAGATAGTCCTTCATAGTCATGACCTCCACTCATCACTCTAACTTGTAAACCATGTTTCTTGGCACAAAGAATTGCCCCTTGGGTCTCATTTTGTGTCTTTGGTGTCACTATGAATGATGGCTTAAGTAGTGATGTTGAATTTAACCATCTTGGATTTTGTTGAGATTCTTGTAGAAGATATGTATATGAAGATGATTGTTGGGAATGAACAACACTTGAAGAAGTTGAAGTAGTGTGAAGAGACATGCATGTAGCAAAATCTTGAAGATTTCCATAGCTAATTGGTGTAATTGTAAGAAGAAAGAAAACTAGTAGTACTATACAATAAACCATGTTTTGATATCATCAAAGGAAGAGCAATTTAGGTATATCATGGATTTTTTTGGTACTTGAAATTGAAATTATTCAAACATCTAACATATATATGAACAAGCAATTTTGTTGAAAGAGAGTAATATTTTGAGGATTTATTATAAGTATTGCATGCTATACTTCAAAAACATACTCGATGTAATCAGTTAGATCTGAAAAGAGTAGAGCGTATACTAACGATATTCGATTAATTTATCAATGCAAGACACTTCGTTAAGAACAATGAGAAGTTATCTAGAAGTAGTTGAGGAATTGTAGTTTGTCTTCTTGTAATTCAGTCGGTTTTAATTTATTTATTTTTATGAACTTCAGTAAGTAATTTGGAAATTTCTAGGTGGAGAATGCAACATTGGGAATATGTTACAATACTTTTAAAAAAATATATCACTTTGCCGAATGCTGATTGTCACTTAGCTTGTAGTTGAAAAAATCTTGGAATATCTAAATATATATATATATATTAAGAACATAAAAAATTGCTCACACTATCAGTATATAGTTTAATTTGTAATCTCTAAGTTACGTCATCTGTTTCATTTTATGTGACATTTTTATTTTCTGAGAGTCAAATAATTTAATTTTGACTAGACATTTGCGTATAAAATTTTCATATTTTTTGAAATGAAATTTATATATTTGTTAACTACGTAAAGAGTACTATAAGTCACGTTAATTGACAATTCAAAATATTATAAGAATCTATGAAAAGATTACGGTCTAAGATAGACTTGTTTGAATCTCGAAATACGAAAAGTGTCACATAAAATGGAACGGAGAGAGTATTATCTTTATGAATCTATTTGTTAGATTGCATATAGGATTTATTACCAATAATATATAAATGTGTCATTTAACTTGACATCAAGTGACATCTGTTACATCGTAATGTTCGTTTTTGCTCATGAAATTAATATATAAACAAAAATGAGCTTAAACGACAATTAATTAGCAATTGCTGTTAAATATGTATTTTTAGCTGCAATTAGTAGTCTTTATATATGTGCCTAAAGGCTTTAGGGACATTGGATCTAATGTCACTTAACTAATATCGATAAAAACTTAAACACCCTTTTTTAATATATCTATTTATTACCGTTAAAAATTATTTTTTAATAATCTGTTACAAAGCACCAACAATATATAACTTTTGACACGTACACCAATTTGCCTCCACAGGTTCTGCACAAAGTTAGATAGATATTGGCTCC